AATTGAGTATAAGGCACTTGTTTAGAGACATAAGAGGACAATTTAGAATTGTTGTTCTGGATCCAGTTTAGAACAAGGCTTTTAATTTCTTTGTAACAATAACCTAAGTGACCACGGTATAGATCTGTTTGAAATAAGGAGCACCCAGTCCTGCAACTGCCACGCCCACCATCGGTTTGTCCACAGGATCTTCATCCCTGGTATGCTTGCCATATTGTATAATATTGTATTTATGTTTAGCATAGGCTAGGTTTAGATCATTCCTATTGTGATCAGGCCCAACCGATTTGATTGTTTTGGATAAATTATGCCCCCCCCCCCCCTTCAAATTTTTTGTTAATTATAATTCACTCCTAAATCAGTGACTTATAATCGAATATATAGTTGGCCAAAAGAGTCCTAGACATCTTAATTGATGAGGAGAAACAAAGGAACAGAGTGCTGGTGATGCCATGTGTCATTCCAAATGCTGACACCAATTACACCACAAGTAACTGTTTTCTTCTCTTCATTTTATTATTCTAGGTAAGCTTATTCTCATTTATATTTTATATCTTATTATTAACTGTATATGTAATTGTTATCATTAATGTCATGTATCACCCTCTTAATATTAATATATTCCATATCAGGAATATATGGACTTTTAGGGATGAAATATGAAGATAGCTTTGTGACTGTGATGGTGCACTAAACTTAGTTCAGCGAGTACTCTAATGCTGATGTACTTTTGTGTTCAGATATATATATATATCGCCAGGATATTGTTACTAAACAGTATAATGAATTAATGAGTTTTGCAAGTACATATAAGTGTGTACTATTTCAATGTTTTATTATCATGCGTTAGAAGGTATAGAATCAGTAGAAGAATAGGATGATTTGTATGATGTGAATGAACGTCTCATGAAATGGTAGTGTATGTGGATATATATACCCATTTCACAGCTAGTGGGTTAACATATATGCAAGCCTGTATATTGTAGCCACTTGCATAGACTTACTGTCGTGAAGTGTAAACATGGTACCCAAGTTGTGTATAGATTAGATGTGAATAGGACCTTTGTTATAAGAGAGGGATTTAGTCGCCTCTCTGATAAGCTACATCTAAACAGTTTGGTAAATAGAGTTTCTCTCCTCCACCAGCGATAGAAGTCTAATTAGGCGCAGACCCATTTAAAAGATGTAGTTTGTTATATTATATAATAGTGCAGTTATTGATTGATTAATAATCGAAGCACACATTTAATGAGTTTGATTATATATTATTATATTGTACATGTGTATTTTGTAACCATGATACTACAATAGAGCAATGAGCTTAGTAATTTATTAGTTATGTTAGAGAAGGCAACTTCAGTGGTCTGAATTGTAGAATAATTGAGAATTAGGCAAACCCAGCAGAAGTTTCGGCAAGATGCTTTATCTCACCAGTTTGGTAGAAATCAGTTTCTCTAAAGCTCATGCATATATTCGTTTATTAAATCTTAAGTTTATTTTCAGATGATTTATACAATCATTACATGTATTTAATTGTCCTTGTGGGTTTTGAGACAACGTAAAACTGTTATACATGTAGTTGTATATTTGTAGAATGTATAGTTTTATCTTGACTTATTATGTTGCGGATGCACCAGTAATTTGGAATTGCTTGGTTCTTAAAACGAAAGGATTATATATAGTAGAATATATTCTATACTAAACTTTTAATAGATGAACAGATATATGAGTGCATCATATAGTTACCAGAATTGCAACACGTGTATTCAAAGATGGGATACTAAGTTAACTATTAATTGAATTTGTTAGAAATGGAATTCAACCTTATATTTTACCTGTGGTATTTAAGCCACGAAAGTTTAGTTAGAATTAACTAAAACTATATTATTGTAAGCTGTTTATATACTTAGTTAGAAGTTAGATTAGGTTTTGTTACGAGAGAAGATCTGGCTATTGCAGATCGATGTGATATAGTTTTAATGTATAAAACTGAAGCATGAACATGTGTTCATGATCGCCGTTGATATTTGATTACTCTTATTCATGAATATTCTTGCTTATTGCGATGGTATTAAGAGTAATAAAAGTCATTCTACATGCTGATGCCAATTACACCACAAGTAACTGTTTTCTTCTCTTCATTTTATTATTCTAGCTCCCCTTCCCTGATAGGGGCGTTACACTATTTATATTGTTGTTTTGTTGTATTCTGTATTCTTTGTATTATTAAGCTATGTTTGTATTCTTTATTATGTATCATTATCATGATATGTACATGTGTTGTACTCTCATACCCCAGAAGGGGGTCGAATGAGTCAATAAATTCTATTCTATTCTATGAAACACATTTAAATGACAATTGCAGACCTTTTAGTTGCTTTCCTTGACGGTATTTTCAGACTTGGTTAAAGATTCATTGATGACATTTCAAAATTGTGATGGAATAGGGTTAGACATCTATACAATAATTTGCTGAATTGTTTGAAATATTTGCTTATTAATGCTTTTTTTTAAATGTGCAATTCACAATTCTTTTCTTTATTTCTTTCACCCCCCCCCTTCTCTTTCTCCATAATAGTGCTCGACCACCAGCACCAAAAAACTGAGGGTGAAGTGCAAAAAACTACCCCAACATAATGAGCATCCAATCCCGCTACTACCAGACACATCATCCGTTAGTGTGTCAGCTGGATAATCATCCCTGGTATGTAACGCATTTAAATGGCAATTGCAGCCCTTTTAGCTCCTTTCTTTGACGGGTAATGTTAGACTTGTTCAGAATTTCATCAATGTCATTTTAAAACTGTGATGGAATAGTGTTAGACATCTATACAATAATTTGCTGAATTGTCTGAAATACTTGCTTATTGGTGTTATTTTTTAAATGTGCAACTCTGTTATTATGGGTCAAATTGTTTCACAATTCATTTCTTGATGTCTTTCATCCCCCTCTCCTCTCTTTCTCCATGATAGTTCTGCAGTACCAGCGATCAAGCGGCGAGGGTAAAATTCACCCAGGAAGAGAAGGAGGCAGTCCAGAAGCTTTTCCAGAGCTGGATAGAAAAGGGTGACATGCCTCGCATAGGCGTGGTGAGGGACATAGTTAAACAAAATAAAAAAGTAGCACGTTGCCTCTCTAACCGATCATTTCTCCAAGTGAGGGACAGAGTCCGCAATGCAATAAAAGCTCAAACAAAATCTACGTCTATGTAGATCATCAACTATTTCATTCATCTTTCTTTTTTCTCAGTTGCTTTCTTAATGTAATATCCCTCACAACGCCTATGCAAGGCATGTCACCTTTTTCTATCCAGCTGTTGATATTCTAATGAAATGTTTAAGAAATGGCAGTGCACACTTGTCAGTAAGTCTGAATGTTTTGTTAAAGTAGTTTTCGTGATTCTTCTTTCTATTCTTGTTCTTTTACTTTTTACATGATTATGATATGCTTTTTATGAATATGAAGGTACAATTGTATCAATAAAAACCTTCAATTGTCATTAATAAAACACTTTGAGCAGGACATAGGAGATAGTTTTGTATTATGTCCGAACTAAATATGAGTTGAGTCAAATCAAAAAATCATAATTATCTACATTGGACGTAAAAATGATTGAGTTATGGCATTTTTGAACTTTTGTATTGTTTCATGAAACAGTTATATGCATAACATGGGCTGTATTTCGATTAGTGACATGCCGCACTGTCATATGCTCGATTTTCCTTATGTGTATTATATTAAATATATATTCCTGTACACTATTAACATATTTTTAAAAAGAATACCCGTTTTACCGGTCCTAAGCTTTGGAACGATTTACCTTAAACTATGAGGAAATCTGTACTTCTATTGGAAGCTTTAAAAAATGTATAATTTTAAATTACAGTGCATAAGTATTAGCCCTATACCCGATGAGGCTGACGAGTGTGTGTGTGTATATTGTATAAGGGGATGTGTATATAACCCAATTATATTGTACTGGCACCATGAAAGCTCTCGTGTTATAAACAGCTTCGCGGGACTCGAACCCACCCAAGTAAAATAAAAAAGAGTTTACAACACACATGAAGCTATATATTAAAGTTAATTAATAATAGCAGTTTGTGTCATATATATTTAAAAGAATTTGCACTTTAGGAATGCAAAAGATTAAATGTATTTTCTTACACCGTAACGAACGTTTCACATCATTGCTTGTAATTCCAGTCCTTAATTTCAATTTCACAGTATGAAATATGAGATAAAATGCACTTGAGAGAGAGAGAGAGAGAGAGAGAACAAAAACACAGGGAAAGTTAAAATTGAGATAGTGAGTGAAACTAATATGATGGAAAGTGGCAGTTGAGATAGAGAATGCAATAAAAGGGGGGAAATGATAATAAAGACAGAGAAAGTGGGGATGGAGATAGAAAGAGGGAACATGATGAGGGAAAGTGGAAGTGGAAGTAGAAGTAGTAAGGAAGAGCAGGTAGGGTAGTATGAAATATGAGATGAAATGCACTTGAGAGAGAGAGAGAGAGAGAGAGAGAACAAAAACACAGGGAAAGTTAAAATTGAGATAGTGAGTGAAACCAATATGATGGAAAGTGGCAGTTGAGATAGAGAATGCAATAGAAAGGGGGAGGGTGATAATAAAGACAGAGAATGTGGAGATGGTTATAGAAAGAGGGAACATGATGAGGGAAAGTGGAAGTAGAAGTAGTAAGGAAGAGCAGGTAGGGTGGTAGCAGAGGTAGTAGAAGTAGTAAGGAAGAGCAGGTAGGGTGGTAGTAGAGGTAGTAATAGAAGTAGGGAAGAGCATTGTCCATTCAGGAGAGAGAAAGAAAGACAGATGAGGGAGGGTAAGAAATATTAAGATATTTAATGATTGACAGATCTGGTGAGAATGGAAGAGGAAGGGGAGCAAGGGAGAACGGATAGTGTGGTAGTGGAGGTAGTAGAAGTAGTAAAGAAGAACAGATAGGTTGGTAGTAGAGGTGATGTCCACACGGTCATTTTACCTGATGGTCGGGTCCTTGTCCATTGCCCTTTGTTGTAGGCATACCGCCGCCCTCTTCATGTGTTCCTCGCTGGTCTGCAAAGTTACAAAAGAACAAGATTATGTAATAAATACAAGTTCATTTAAAGTTCACTCAGGCATTTCAACCATTATGACAAGAAGAGAAATTGATGAACATGTTCTTTACTGTCTATTGACCACAACTTAAGCATACTATTTTAGAGTAAATTTGGGAAAAAAACAAAAATGTAATGAATACCAGGCTGGTGGCTAACCTCTTGAGATATCGATTTAAAAGTGGCTATGTGCCTGTCGAAGCTAGAGGCATTGACTGTTGGGGTTGTACCCAGGATGGTCAGCAAGTTTCTTAAGCCTTCAACTGCCAAACCACCAACCTCCGTTGGTCAGAGTAGTCCTAGGGTTTATTTCTGCAGATTTTCCAGGTCCTTTGCATGAATTTTCTGAGGAAAACAATATGAGGAAAAGTGACATTTGAGATAGAGAATGCAATATGAGGGACAATGACAATTGAGAAGGAAATGAAGACACGATAAAAGAAAGAGGAGATTGTGATAGCAAGAAGGAACACAAACAGCATGTTTCTATTAGTTTTAATGAAATTATCCGTTTCATTTGTTTTCCGGAAAATAGCATATAGTACCAGGGAATGGGCAGTTTCTATCTACGCGTATTATCCGGATAAATACACTGCTCCGATTTAGTGGGTTAAAAGGTTGTGAATAAGTTTGCATCGATCATGCCTAAGGCACCGCAAAGTAATGTGGGACTGCTAGGTCCACCTGGGATTTTAGTGGCGAGGTAAAATATTCCGATCACGTGATTACTCTGATTTCAGGTGTCACTCTGTTACATGTACTCAATCGGAACGGCGTGAGTTTCTGCTAGGCCTACTTAGCTTTGGCCTAAGTAGTAGGCTTAGGCTCCACTCATTTCTAATGAATTGACCACTAGAAACATCAAATTGGGTAGAACAAAAAATTGAAGCACAATAAGGGGGAGGAGGGGGGGGGGGGATTAGAAAATGTCCTATGTTTAGTGACGCTGACAACTTTTATGCACCATAACAGCAATCAGAGATCTGTTTTGAATTTTTCCTTGTATATGCTAGGTCAGGACGGCTGTTTTATGTCTTTACATTTCATGTGTAAATGTCAATGCCAACAAATGCGACATCAAAAAAATAAGGGGGGGGGGGTGGATCTTCAACATGTCGATGCTATACGGATGCTGAACATGAACATTCTGTATTCGCGCATTAACGTAGCCTTCATATGCCTTTTTTGAATTTTTCCTTGCAAATACTAGGACAGGAAAGCTATCTTTATTATCGTACATGTCTTTGCATTTGATATGTGAAGTGTCAATGCCAATAAGGGGGGTGAATCTTAAACATGCATGCTGGTGGTGTGCAGATGCTGCGATAATCATGGACAATCAGTATTCGCACAATAATGCAACAAACCGAGGCTTATTTTTGATTTTCCCTTGCATATGCTAGGTCAGGAAAGCTCTTTTTATTATCGTGCATGTCTTTGCATTCTATATGTGAACTGTCAATGCCAACAAATGAGAAATACAAAAAATAAGGGGGGTGAATCTTAAACATGCATGCTGGTGGTTTACAGATGCTGCGATAATCATGGACAATCAGTATTCGCACAATAATGCAACAAACCGAGGCTTATTTTTGATTTTCCCTTGCATATGCTAGGTCAGGAAATCTCTTTTTATTATCGTGCATGTCTTTGCATTCTATATGTGAACTGTCAATGCCAACAAATGAGAAATACAAAAAATAAGGGGGGTGAATCTTAAACCTGCAGGTGCTGTACTGATGCTGCGATAATCATTGACAATCAGTATTCGCACAATAATGCAACAAAACGAGGCTTATTTTTAATTTTCCCTTGCACATGCTAGGTCAGGAAAGCTCTCTTTATTATCGTGCATGTCTTTGCATTCTGTATGTGCAGTATCAATGCCAAGAAATGAGAAATACAAAAAATAAGCCTAGAAGTTAGAACATGCCGATACTGTACGTGAAGCTGCGATATCATGGGCATTCAGTATTAGCACAATAACACAATAAAGTGTAGTCCTACTTACCTTATGGCTTAATGCAATTATTCTTTTGGGCATCTAACAAGTAGACTAATTGATATAAGATCTATATGCTTCACAGTCAGAGTCATACCAGGCAGAGGCCTAATGCCAGGCCTGGACTGGAGTTTCGGCCGACAGCCTACCTGTGTTTAGGGGGGAGTGCTTGTTGTTCACGCAAAGTTGCATATCTCACAAAGTTGTGTACAATTTCATGACCTATCGAGAGAAAGTGGATTGATTAAAGTCTAAATTAGTATAAATGGACAGTCAGATAAATATAGGGCACAATACATTTAAAAACTCACCATTTAAATGAATAATAAGAGCTGACTGCCCGCTGGAATGAATCTACTTTTGTTTGTTTAGTTTCTACTGTTACTTTGATTCGTTTGTTATTGTGTGAAGCTCCCTCTACGTGAGAAAAGTACCAATGGCGGGAATTGATGGGAAAAATTAATTTTTGTATCACTTTTTAAGGAAAAAGCATAACAATTAATAAAAAACCAATTGCAGGAAAGTAGGCCTGGATTATCAAAGATCAATTTGAGTATGGTATATTCTGTGGCTTCAATGTAAAAATGTTTTTTTAAAGAACTTTTGTAGAGCACCTATTTTTTGGCCTACACTGTACAAACCTATGGTGAATATTAGATTTTTCGTATTTCGGGGGATATTTTTGTTTGCTAATATTTTGGTTTTATGATTAAAAAATAAGAAACGAATGAATATTTAATGTTAAAAAGGGTTTAAATGTTAAAATTAAAGCAGCCCCCAAGTCATATCTTCAAATTTCAGCCCCAAAAGACTAATTGAAAATTTGCAAAAAAGCGAATTTCGAGAAATACCGTCCTAAACTTTTTTTTTTAAATTGCTTGTAATTAATTAAATAATTAACCAATTTTGCTAATTTTTTCAGGATATGCTCATGATAAGATGCACTAAGCAGTGCATATTTTATTTAAATTTATAAGGGCCTCGATTAGTCTGACCTTTTCATCACCTCAAACAAAAATTCATCTAGTCAATTGTTAAACTCAGTTTTACTTCATTTTTTGGAGAAATGAATAAATCATTTTTTAAAGTGCTAGTTTAAAGAAAAAAACCATCAGGGCTTAGGAGTTAGTGGCCCCAACCGCTATCTAGCAAAATCCTTGAGTTTAATAGGGGTATTGAACCCTATGAACCAGCAAAGGTACCAAAGGGTAAGTACATTTTACTAAAGTACCATTTTCAACACTTTTCCATATTTGAAATTTAAAAAGCGGATCTGTGAAGATTAAGCAACTAAATAGCTTTCATTTAAAAAAAAAATGAACAAAATCGATGAAGAATTGAGTGAGCTAATGACATTTTCCAAAACAGTGTGTAGGACATACACCGGCCCCCAAAAGTTACACCGAGGCACCTTTAGAGTTCAAGGTCAATTTAATTACCGGACGAGCATTATTCCGCCGCGATACTCATGTTAGATGAAAGCCCAACTATCTAAGAGTCCACCTTAAAAAACCCGAACGAAATCGACCAAGGATAACTAAACTAGAAGCAATTATAAAAAAAAAGACTGATTCTATGAATCTAATTAGGGTTAGGGTTAGGGTTAGGGTTAGGGTTAGGGTTAGGGTTAGGGTTAGGGTTAGGTTAGGGTTAGGGTTAGGGTTAGGGTTAGGGTTAGGGTTAGGGTTAGGGTTAGGGTTAGGGTTAGGGTTAGGGTTAGGGTTAGGGTTAGGGTTAGGGTTAGGGTTAGGGTTAGGGTTAGGGTTAGGGTTAGGGTTAGGGTTAGGGTTAGGGTTAGGGTTAGGGTTAGGGTTAGGGTTAGGGTTATTTTTGTACTACCTCTTGGCGCCCGAGAAAATACATGGCTTCTAAAAATATACAATTGGCGTCTGAATATCTACAGTGGCATCTGAAAACCTACAATTGGCGTCTGAGTTTCTACAATGGCGTCTGAAAAGCCACAGATGGCGTCCTATTATCTACAGCTCGGCGCCCGTAAAGCTACATGCTACCCTAAAACTTACATGTTGGCTTCTTTTCATTTTACTCCTCTTAAAAGTAGATTTCCTTCAAAGTTATGGGCTGCCCATTGGTTTTTACAGGTAAGAAACGATATTTAACTTCCATTTTACCATTTACTTACGTTTTGTTTGAAAATAATTAGTTTTTAGTGAAATATGACGGTTTTTAGTGTCCAATGTTTTTTTTGGGTAAAATTTACCGAAACTTGTCTGATTTAGGACCTTTTTCTTTCACTTTAATCCCTTTTATCTTAGAATTGCAATCGTTTTGTTCTTCATGAATGAAAGATATCAATTCCTTATAGATTCATCAATCTATAAGTGTTTGCATATTCGATTTTGTATTTTGAATAACAAAATATCAGCATTTTTGTCGATTTACTACGAAAACCGATTAAAAAAAATTCAGGGTGCTGTTGCCGATCTGTGCCATCACCGTTAAATAGCTTTGTTCCTGACCACCACTGACAGGGCGTTTGACCGAGGCACTTTTCCGCCTGAAGTACTGGCCTGGTATTCGGCTGTTTTCTGGTATACAATGACGTGCAATGACATGGTAAGCAATTTAGATTGACCCCACTTATTTTCTTATTTCATACTTTTTATCCAAAAAGAGCCACTTCAATATGTTGAGTACAACAGAGCTGCCAAGTCTCCCGGATCCTGCGGGAGACTCCCGGATTTTGACCCAATATCCCGTTTTCCCGACCCCATGCAAAAATCTCCCGGATTTCCAGATTTTAAGTTGTATTATTTTCATAAACGACTGTTTCACAAGACTAGCATGTTGAGTTCGTACGTACGTATACAAACACACGGCAATTCTGTAATATGAATTTTCCTGTTATCCAGTCGTCGAATATAAATTTACCGTGATATCGTACTTTATTTTAACAGCGTAATAAATGAGAGTTACGCCGAACGACTGGCGGGCTAATCTAACAAACCATTGGGAACATGTGATAATGTGAGTGGTGTTTGTGTGATAGCAATTCGCCTGCTTGCTCTGCCGGGCGGCTTCCTCGCCGGCCCCCGTAGCGTCCCGGTACGTTGGTGCCGGTTTCCGATCGGTCGCGTCAGAGCAGCCAGAAGTTGCACTGATACAACAAGCAGACTTTGTCTGCTGCGATCGGCCCAAAAAACTGCACATTTCAACATCAGTTTTTGGATTGATTTGGGGACTTTTGCGATGTGATTTTTAAGTGGATTATCATTTGATACCAACATGGCAGTGTTACTGCAGAGTGGATTTTGAAGCCGACTTTTTTTTTCTGATCTCCTTTGCCGTTGGGAACGCATCGATATAACTTGCATCTTCCGAAGGCGTAAGTCAACTTTGTCCAAAACAAGGCTGTATTTTGCTCTCTGTTTGAGTATTAAAATATCATCCAGGACAATGTCGAAGTCGAAATATTATCAGAAATATAAAGATGACTACCACTTGGAATGGCCTTGTGTTGGGAAATCTACGAAAGGCGAATACTACGCATTTTGTACAGTTTGCGGCGCAGATATCTCCATCAAGAGTGGGGGAAGAAATGATGTATTTCGCCACATCACATCTGACAAACACAAGCAAACCGCGAAAGCAAGGGGCAATACAAAAGGAATACAGAGCTTTTTCAGGTTAGTATGAACAGTTCTTAGATTTGTAAAATCGAGAAATAGTCTACCCCTCTATACCATAGACCTGAGTTCATTTCGTCAGTAGTTGGGGACCTCATTAATCTCCCTAAAACTTAGACTTACTCATAAACACGTGTGCGGGACTTGAAGGGTGGATTTTCTCACGATTTTATGTTTTTATTTGAAATACTAATCTGCACGTTGACTGTTTTATGCCAGTATCATGAACTTTAATAGTTTGTTAGGTTACACACATTGCAAGACAATAGCATCATTTTTATGAATTGCTTCGATCCTTAGTTTTGAAAATTCGAATTTGACCGTTAAATCGTATTTAGCGCCCTCTCTCGGTAACAATGATGTTTTGTTAATTATCTGGCATATGCAAGGTTATTTAAAAGATTTGACCACAGAATGATAAAAAAGAATAAATTCTGAAATTTTCATCCAATTCTGTGCATGGGAAGGTGTTCTTTATCAAGGAAGAATGTGACTATGCCTTGAAAACCTGGCCACTAGATGTTAAGTTCCTTAAGGAGGCTGAAGTGATTGATGTCAGTTCCAGAAGAGATGTGTCATTTTCATCTGTGCAATACTTTGTTGAAAAGTACCCTTGCATTTTGAACAGACAATCAGAGAATGGAGACCTGGACAAGCTTGAGCTGGAATTTGCACAATACCAGGTTGAAGACTTTTCAGGGGAACCAGAGATCCTGAACAAAAACTTGAGAATAGACAAGAAATGGTCTGCAATTTCAAAGATGGAGGATGGCAATGGCTCAAAGAAATACACACTTCTGAGCAAAGTGATGAAATCTTTGCTTGTGATACCACATTCCAATGCTTCATGTGAAAGAGTTTTTAGCATTGTTAGGAAGAACAAAACTGATTTCAGGGGATCAATGAATTTGAAAACACTTCAAGCACTCCTAACAGAGAAAATTGCCAACACAGATGTCCCATGCTACCAAAGGGAGTATAGCAAGGACCTCCTTAGCAAACTCAAGCAAGCAACCTACCAGTCACTTCAAGGAAAACCCTCAAGCACACCCCAGTCCTTGCCTTCCACAAGTACATCCCCCATTTCACAATAGAGGTAACAGGAGTTCATAGTCTGAAATATGATGTGAAGTTCATATGTTATCAATTGTATGCAAATAAAATGTGCCATATCAAAGCCTTCCATTTTGAGAAATCATTGAAAAAATGTGTTCTAAAAGGGTTTCAAAGAGGCTTAAAACCAAGAGCTTTTGGGGGCCTGCCCCCTGCCCCCCCCCCCCCACCAGGGGCACTAAAAGGCCATTCTTGGTTCCCGCCAACAATGAAGTCGTTCGATGCTGCTCTCTCAGAAATCTCCCTGATTACCCAAATCAAATGTTGGCAGCTCTGGTACAAATGAAAGTTTTTGTTTATGGTATCCATCCACTTGGCAAAGATGAAATTGATTGAAAAATCTCATTTGTTTTGAGTGGAAAACCTATGGCAATTTGCTCCACAACTCCTGGCCTAGCATTCGGCTGTTATCTGGTGAAGAAAAGTGATGCATTTGGTATGATACAAAATTTAGATTGACCCCATTTATTTTCTTACGTTTTGTTTTTTATCGACAAAAAGCCCCTGCGATATGTTAGGTACACTTGAATATCATTGTTTACGGTGTCCATCCACGTAGCAAACATTAAATTGCTTGACAAATCTCATTTGACCGAGGCACTTTTCCGCCTGAAGTACTGGCCTGGTATTCGGCTGTTTTCTGGTATGCAATGACGTGCAATGACATGGTAAGCAATTTAGATTGACCCCACTTATTTTCTTATTTCATACTTTTTATCCAAAAAGAGCCACTTCAATTTGTTGAGTACAAATGAAAGTTTTTGTTTACGGTATCCATCCACTTGGCAAAGATGAAATTGATTGAAAAATCTCATTTGTTTTGAGTGGAAAACCTATGGCAATTTGCTCCACAACTCCTGGCCTAGCATTCGGCTGTTATCTGGTGAAGAAAAGTGATGCATTTGGTATGATACAAAATTTAGATTGACCCCATTTATTTTCTTACGTTTTGTTTTTTATCGACAAAAAGCCCCTGCGATATGTTAAGTACACTTGAATATCATTGTTTACGGTGTCCATCCACGTAGCGAACATTAAATTGCTTGACTAATCTCATTTGTTTCAAGCTGAACACCCTTCATTAGGTGTTTAACTTGAAACAAATGATACTTTTCAATGTGTGGTGCATTTGGTATGATACAAAATTTAGATTGACCCATTTATTTTTGACAGTTATGTTTTTTCGACAAAAAGGCCCTGCGATATGTTTTGTTTCCAGCAGAAAAACTTGAAAGGGCGATCTCCCTTGCCAAGTATTTAGCCGTTTCAATTGGATGATTACGCAAAACCGTCATTAACTCCAACTTCGTGGACGTCCTATTGAAATGTATGATACAGAATTAACATTCGTTTCTCAAGGATGTCTACAAACTAAACTTAGTGATGGTTTTGAGTAACGGCCCCTCGTTGTTAAAGTTCTGCCTTCTGGTGCACTTGATAAGATACACAATTTAGTTTGACACCATTTTTTGTTCTAATTTTATGGTTTTTTTTTAACGACTTTAATATACTAGCCACTGCGATATGTTAATTCTATAGAAAATCTTAGTATAAGGTGTCCATCAACTACATCGACCTCAACATGTGCTCCATCAATTACACTTGCTAATATTTCAATTATAATTAATTGCTTCATTTGTTTATACTTTTCTTATAGGGTTATATATGAGCGACGTGTAGGTTGACGTCGAACAATGGGCAGAGGTAATACATACACGAAACTGGACACATGGGACCGATGTATATTTAGGAACAAGGAATGACGACTTATTATCGCACATGTGTAAATATAATTAAAGAGTATTAAGAAGTGATCGTATCCATGCTAATTTAAGGGGAGTCTATCCTTATTGTAAGGATAAGAGGACGTTTTGTGGGCAAATACGAAGATTTCAAAATGTAAAATGTCGCCATTTTGTACGGACAGAGGGTCCGAGCTTACGAACGATGCGAGCAACTTCCACTCCAAAAGTTAATCGACATCGGTATGTATTTAGCTGGCTGCTGACCCATCTAAAAGTCCTCAAGTTACTATTTTACCATATTTGTAAAGCTTAATAAATTTCCTTTCATAATTTTTAGCTACTTTTGGGGCCTTCGGAAAAAATTGTGGAATTTAAGACGAAAATCAAAACTTCAAATTTCCAAAAAAAAGTCATCGTTCTAACTACTGATTTTTATAATTTTTCCCACTTTTTTGAAAAAATAAAGATGATATTTCCGTGATTTTAACTTTTAACTCTTCAAAACAAAAACAATCATTTGAAAATCTCATTTTATAACGGAGCTACGAGCATTTCAAAACGAGTCTTCATTTGCGACTTCTGAGGTTTTGTAGCCACACATGCTAATATACTGTTAGTGCCAACTCTCACAGTGAGCTATTTGACCCATTCAATTAACCCCACATTCCATTAAAGGTGGTCATGGCAACAGGCCTCCAAGGCCACTATACTTACAAGAAGCTGTATGCAATGTACATACTCTCATAGAAACCGGTTTTGTACACTACTATTCTATTGTACAATCTTTCTGAGGCCATCTTAAACTATAATACTTTCGATCATCTTCTCTTATGTTATTCATTGTTTTTCTTCTCTCTTTCCTCTTATTCTATATTTTCCTTCTATTGATCATTTTCTCTTATGTTATTCATTGTTTTTCTTCTCTCTTTCCTCTTATTCTATATTTTCCTTCTATTGATCATCTTCTCTTATGTTATTCATTGTTTTTCTTCTCTCTTTCCTCTTATTCTATATTTTCCTTCTATTGATCATTTTCTCTTATGTTATTCATTGTTTTTCTTCTCTCTTTCCTCTTATTATTCTGTAGTTTCCTTCTATTGATCATTTTCTCTTATGTTATTCATTGTTTTTCTTCTTTCTTTCCTCTTATTATTCTGTATTTTCCTTCTATTGATCATCTTCTCTTATGTTATTCATTGTTTTTCTTCTATCTCTCCTCTCATTATTCTTTATTGTCCTTCTATCATCTCCTCTTATGTTTCATACATATGACACAAAGTGATATGATTACTGAACTTGAATAGCTACATGTATGCTGTAAAATCTTTTTGTTTTGTACTTGGGTGGGTTCGAATCCCGCGAAGCTGTTTTTAGCACAAGAGCTTTCATGGTGCCAGTACAATATCATTTGGTTCTATAGCATTCAACGTGCACGTTTCTGATACAGATACAAATGTTGAAAGTAAAGAGGACATCTCCTCAGAATTGGCAGAGAACTCAAAGATAAACTAATTGAGTATAAGGCACTTGTTTAGAGACATAAGACGACAATTTAGAATTGTTGTTCTGGATCCAGTTTAGAACAAGGCTTTTAATTTCTTTGTAACAATAACCTAAGTGACCACGGTATAGATCTGTTTGAAATAAGGAGCACCCAGTCCTGCAACTGCCACGCCCACCATCGGTTTGTGGGTCCACAGGATCTTCATCCCTGGTATGCTTTCCATATTGTATAATATTGTATTTATGTTTAGCATAGGCTAGGTTTAGATCATTCCTATTGTGATCAGGCCCAACAGATTTGATTGTTTTGGATAAATTATGCCCCCCCCCCCTTCAAATTTTTTGTTAATTATAATTCACTCCTAAATCAGTGACTTATAATAGAATATATAGTTGGCCAAAAGAGTCCTAGACATCTTAATTGATGAGGAGAAACAAAGGAACAGAGTGCTGGTGATGCCATGTGTCATTCCAAATGCTGACACCAATTACACCACAAGTAACTGTTTTCTTCTCTTCATTTTATTATTCTAGGTAAGCTTATTCTCATTTATATTTTATATCTTATTATTAACTGTATATGTAATTGTTATCATTAATGTCATGTATCACCCTCTTAATATTAATATATTCCATATCAGGAATATATGGACTTTTAGGGATGAAATATGAAGATAGCTTTGTGACTGTGATGGTGCACTAAACTTAGTTCAGCGAGTACGCTAATGCTGATGTACTTTTGTGTTCAGATATATATATATATATATATCGCCAGGATATTGTTACTAAACAGTATAATGAATTAATGAGTTTTGCAAGTACATATAAGTGTGTACTATTTCAATGTTTTATTATCATGCGTTAGAAGGTATAGAATCAGTAGAAGAATAGGATGATTTGTATGATGTGAATGAACGTCTCATGAAATGGTAGTGTATGTGGATATATATACCCATTTCACAGCTAGTGGGTTAAACATATATGCAAGCCTGTATATTGTAGCCACTTGCATAGACTTACTGTCGTGAAGTGTAAACATGGTACCCAAGTTGTGTATAGATTAGATGTAAATAGGACCTTTGTTCTAAGAGAGGGATTTATTCGCCTCTCTGATAAGCTACATCTAAACAGTTTGGTAAATAGAGTTTCTCTCCTCCACCAGCGATAGAAGTCTAATTAGGCGCAGACCCATTTAAAAGATGTAGTTTGTTATATTATATAATAGTGCAGTTATTGATTGATTAATAATCGAAGCACACATTTAATGAGTTTGATTATATATTATTATATTGTACATGTGTATTTTGTAACCATGATACTACAATAGAGCAACGAGCTTAGTAATTTATTAGTTATGTTAGAGAAGGCAACTTCAGTGGTCTGAATTGTAGAATAATTGAGAATTAGGCAAACCCAGCAGAAGTTTCGGCAAGATGCTTTATCTCACCAGTTTGGTAGAAATCAGTTTCTCTAAAGCTCATGCATATATTCGTTTATTAAATCTTAAGTTTATTTTCAGATGATTTATACAATCATTACATGTATTTAATTGTCCTTGTGGGTTTTGAGACAACGTAAAACTGTTATACATGTAGTTGTATATTTGTAGAATGTATAGTTTTATCTTGACTTATTATGTTGCGGATGCACCAGTAATTTGGAATTGCTTGGTTCTTAAAACGAAAGGATTATATATAGTAGAATATATTCTATACTAAACTTTTAATAGATGAACAGATATATGAGTGCATCATATAGTTACCAGAATTGCAACACGTGTATTCAAAGATGGGATACTAAGTTAACTATTAATTGAATTTGTTAGAAATGGAATTCAACCTTATATTTTACCTGTGGTATTTAAGCCACGAAAGTTTAGTTAGAATTAACTAAAACTGTATTATTGTAAGCTGTTTATATACTTAGTTAGAAGTTAGATTAGGTTTTGTTATGAGAGAAGATCTGGCTATTGCAGATCGATGTGATATAGTTTTAATGTATAAAACTGAAGCATGAACATGTGTTCATGATCGCCGTTGATATTTGATTACTCTTATTCATGATTATTCTTGCTTATTGCGATGGTATTAAGAGTAATAAAAGTCATTCTACATGCTGATACCAATTACACCACAAGTAACTGTTTTCTTCTCTTCATTTTATTATTCTAGCTCCCCTTCCCTGATAGGGGCGTTACACTATTTATATTGTTGTTTTGTTGTATTCTGTATTCTTTGTATTATTAAGCTATGTTTGTATTCTTTATTATGTATCATTATCTTGATATGTACATGTGTTGTACTCTCATACCCCAGAAGGGGGTCGAATGAGTCAATAAATTCTATTCTATGAAACACATTTAAATGACAATTGCAGACCTTTTAGTTGCTTTCCTTGACGGTATTTTCAGACTTGGTTAAAGATTCATTAATGACATTTCAAAATTGTGATGGAATAGGGTTAGACATCTATACAATAATTTGCTGAATTGTTTGAAATATTTGCTTATTAATGCTTTTTTTTAAATGTGCAATTCACAATTCTTTTCTTTATTTCTTTCACCCCCCCCCCCTCTCTCTCTCCATAATAGTGCTCGACCACCAGCACCAAAAAACTGAGGGTGAAGTGCAAAAAACTACCCCAACATAATGAGCATCCAATCCCGCTACTACCAGACACATCATCCGTTAGTGTGTCAGCTGGATCATCATCCCTGGTATGTAACGCATTTAAATGGCAATTGCAGCCCTTTTAGCTCCTTTCTTTGACGGGTAATGTTAGACTTGTTCAGAATTTCATCAATGTCATTTTAAAACTGTGATGGAATAGTGTTAGACATCTATACAATAATTTGCTGAATTGTCTGAAATACTTGCTTATTGGTGTTATTTTTTAAATGTGCAACTCTGTTATTATGGGTCAAATTGTTTCACAATTCATTTCTTGATGTCTTTCATCCCCCTCTCCTCTCTTTCTCCATGATAGTTCTGCAGTACCAGCGATCAAGCGGCGAGGGTAAAATTCACCCAGGAAGAGAAGGAGGCAGTCCAGAAGCTTTTCCAGAGCTGGATAGAAAAGGGTGACATGCCTCGCATAGGCGTGGTGAGGGACATAGTTAAACAAAATAAAAAAGTAGCACGTTGCCTCTCTAACCGATCATTTCTCCAAGTGAGGGACAGAGTCCGCAATGCAATAAAAGCTCAAACAAAATCTACGTCTATGTAGATCATCAACTATTTCATTCATCTTTCTTTTTTCTCAGTTGCTTTCTTAATGTAATATCCCTCACAACGCCTATGCAAGGCATGTCACCTTTTTCTATCCAGCTGTTGATATTCTAATGAAATGTTTAAGAAATGGCAGTGCACACTTGTCAGTAAGTCTGAATGTTTTGTTAAAGTAGTTTTCGTGATTCTTCTTTCTATTCTTGTTCTTTTACTTTTTACATGATGATTATGATATGCTTTTTATGAATATGAAGGTACAATTGTATCAATAAAAACCTTCAATTGTCATTAATAAAACACTTTGAGCAGGACATAGGAGATAGTTTTGTATTATGTCCGAACTAAATATGAGTTGAGTCAAATCAAAAAATCATAATTATCTACATTGGACGTAAAAATGATTGAGTTATGGCATTTTTGAACTTTTGTATTGTTTCATGAAACAGTTATATGCATAACATGGGCTGTATTTCGATTAGTGACATGCCGCACTGTCATATGCTCGATTTTCCTTATGTGTATTATATTAAATATATATTCCTGTACACTATTAACATATTTTTAAAAAGAATACCCGTTTTACCGGTCCTAAGCTTTGGAACGATTTACCTGAAACTATGAGGAAATCTGTACTTCTATTGGAAGCTTTAAAAAATGTATAATTTTAAATTACAGTGCATAAGTATTAGCCCTATACCCGATGAGGCTGACGAGTGTGTGTGTGTATATTGTATAAGGGGATGTGTATATAACCCAATTATATTGTACTGGCACCATGAAAGCTCTTGTGTTATAAACAGCTTCGCGGGACTCGAACCCACCCAAGTAAAATAAAAAAGAGTTTACAACACACATGAAGCTATATACTAAAGTTAATTAATAATAGCAGTTTGTGTCATATATATTTAAAAGAATTTGCACTTTAATTATGCAAAAGATTAAATGTATTTTCTTACACCGTAACGAATGTTTCACATCATTGCTTGTAATTCCAGTCCTTAATTTCAATTTCACAGTATGAAATATGAGATAAAATGCACTTGAGAGAGAGAGAGAGAACAAAAACACAGGGAAAGTTAAAATTGAGATAGTGAGTGAAACCAATATGATGGAAAGTGGCAGTTGAGATAGAGAATGCAATAAAAGGGGGGAAATGATAATAAAGACAGAGAAAGTGGGGATGGAGATAGAAAGAGGGAACATGATGAGGGAAAGTGGAAGTGGAAGTAGAAGTAGTAAGGAAGAGCAGGTAGGGTAGTATGAAATATGAGATGAAATGCACTTGAGAGAGAGAGAGAGAGAGAGAGAGAGAACAAAAACACAGGGAAAGTTGAAATTGAGATAGTGAGTGAAACCAATATGATGGAAAGTGGCAGTTGAGATAGAGAATGCAATAGAAAGGGGGAGGGTGATAATAAAGACAGAGAACGTGGAGATGGTTATAGTAAGAGGGAACATGATGAGGGAAAGTGGAAGTAGAAGTAGTAAGGAAGAGCAGGTAGGGTGGTAGCAGAGGTAGTAATAAAAGTAAGGAAGAGCATTGTCCATTCAGGAGAGAGAAAGAAAGACAGATGAGGGAGGGTAAGAAATATTAAGATATTTAATGATTGACAGATCCGGCGAGAATGAAAGAGGGAGGGGAGTGAGGGAGAATGGGTAGGGTGGTAGTAGAGGTAGTAGAAGTAGTAAGGAAGAGCAGGTAGGGTGGTAGTAGAGGTAGTAATAGAAGTAGGGAAGAGCATTGTCCATTCAGGAGAGAGAGAAAAAAAGAAAAATGAGGGAGGGGTGAGAAATATTAAGATATTTAATGATTGACAGATCTGGTGAGAATGAAAGAGGGAGGGGAGCAAGGGAGAACGGATAGGGTGGTAGTGGAGGTAGTAGAAGTAGTAAAGAAGAACAGATAGGTTGGTAGTAGAGGTGATGTCCACACTGTCATTTTACCTGATGGTCGGGTCCTTGTCCATTGCCCTTTGTTGTAGGCATACCGCCGCCCTCTTCATGTGTTCCTCGCTGGTCTGCAAAGTTACAAAAGAACAAGATTATGTAATAAATACAAGTTCATTTAAAGTTCACTCAGGCATTTCAACCATTATGACAAGAAGAGAAATTGATGAACATGTTCTTTACTGTCTATTGACCACAACTTAAGCATACTATTTTAGAGTAAATTTGGGAAAAAAACAAAAATGTAATGAATAAAATACCAGGCTGGTGGCTAACCTCTTGAGATATCGATTTAAAAGTGGCTATGTGCCTGTCGTAGCTAGAGGCATTGACTGTTGGGGTTGTACCCAGGATGGTCAGCAAGTTTCTTAAGCCTTCAACTGCCAAACCACCAACCTCCGTTGGTCAGAGTAGTCCTAGGGTTTATTTCTGCAGATTTTCCAGGTCCTTTGCATGAATTTTCTGAGGAAAACAATATGAGGAAAAGTGACATTTGAGATAGAGAATGCAATATGAGGGACAATGACAATTGAGAAGGAAATGAAGACATGATAAAAGAAAGAGGAGATTGTGATAGCAAGAAGGAACACAAACAGCATGTTTCTATTAGTTTTAATGAAATTATCCGTTTCATTTGTTTTCCGGAAAATAGCATATAGTACCAGGGAATGGGCAGTTTCTATCTACGCGTATTATCCGGATAAATACACTGCTCCGATTTAGTGGGTTAAAAGGTTGTGAATAAGTTTGCATCGATCATGCCTAAGGCACCGCAAAGTAATGTGGGACTGCTAGGTCCACCTGGGATTTTAGTGGCGAGGTAAAATATTCCGATCACGTGATTACTCTGATTTCAGGTGTCACTCTGTTATATGTACTCAATCGGAACGGCGTGAGTTTCTGCTAGGCCTACTTAGCTTTGGCCTAAGTAGTAGGCTTAGTCTCCACTCATTTCTAATGAATTGACCACTAGAAACATCAAATTGGGTAGAACAAAGAATTGAAGCACAATAAGGGGGAGGAGGGGGGGGGGGGAATTAGAAAATGTCCTATGTTTAGTGACGCTGACAACTTTTATGCACCATAACAGCAATCAGAGATCTTTTTTGAATTTTTCCTTGTATATGCTAGGTCAGGACGGCTGTTTTATGTCTTTACATTTCATGTGTAAATGTCAATGCCAACAAATGCGACATCAAAAAAATAAGGGGGGGGGGGTGGATCTTCAACATGTCGATGCTATACGGATGCTGAACATGAACATTCTGTATTCGCGCATTAACGTAGCCTTCATATGCCTTTTTTGAATTTTTCCTTGCAAATACTAGGACAGGAAAGCTATCTTTATTATCGTACATGTCTTTGCATTTGATATGTGAAGTGTCAATGCCAACAAATGAGAAATACAAAATATAAGGGGGGTGAATCTTAAACATGCATGCTGGTGGTGTGCAGATGCTGCGATAATCATGGACAATCAGTATTCGCACAATAATGCAACAAACCGAGGCTTATTTTTGATTTTCCCTTGCATATGCTAGGTCAGGAAATCTCTTTTTATTATCGTGCATGTCTTTGCATTCTATATGTGAAGTGTCAATGCCAACAAATGAGAAATACAAAAAATAAGGGGGGTGAATCTTAAACATGCATGCTGGTGGTTTACAGATGCTGCGATAATCATGGACAATCAGTATTCGCACAATAATGCAACAAACCGAGGCTTATTTTTGATTTTCCCTTGCATATGCTAGGTCAGGAAATCTCTTTTTATTATCGTGCATGTCTTTGCATTCTATATGTGAACTGTCAATGCCAACAAATGAGAAATACAAAAAATAAGGGGGGTGAATCTTAAACCTGCAGGTGCTGTACTGATGCTGCGATAATCATTGACAATCAGTATTCGCACAATAATGCAACAAAACGAGGCTTATTTTTAATTTTCCCTTGCACATGCTAGGTCAGGAAAGCTCTCTTTATTATCGTGCATGTCTTTGCATTCTGTATGTGCAGTATCAATGCCAAGAAATGAGAAATACAAAAAATAAGCCTAGAAGTTAGAACATGCCGATACTGTACGTACCGACGTCCGAAGCTGCGATATCATGGGCATTCAGTATTAGCACAATAACACAATAAAGTGTAGTCCTACTTACCTTATGGCTTAATGCAATTATTCTTTTGGGCATCTAACAAGTAGACTAATTGATATAAGATCTATATGCTTCACAGTCAGAGTCATACCAGGCAGAGGCCTAATGCCAGGCCTGGAGTTTCGGCCGACAGCCTACCTGTGTTTAGGGGGGAGTGCTTGTTGTTCACGCAAAGTTGCATATCTCACAAAGTTGTGTACAATTTCATGACCTATCGAGAGAAAGTGGATTGATTAAAGTCTAAATTAGTATAAATGGACAGTCAGATAAATATAGGGCACAATACATTTAAAAACTCACCATTTAAATAAATAATAAGAGCTGACTGCCCGCTGGAATGAATCTACTTTTGTTTGTTTAGTTTCTACTGTTACTTTGATTCGTTTGTTATTGTGTGAAGCTCCCTCTACGTGAGAAAAGTACCAATGGCGGGAATTGATGGGAAAAATTAATTTTTGTATCACTTTTTAAGGAAAAAGCATAACAATTAATAAAAAACCAATTGCAGGAAAGTAGGCCTGGATTATCAAAGATCAATTTGAGTATGGTATATTCTGTGGCTTCAATGTAAAAATGTTTTTTTAAAGAACTTTTGTAGAGCACCTATTTTTTGGCCTACACTGTACAAACCTATGGTGAATATTAGATTTTTCGTATTTCGGGGGATATTTTTGTTTGCTAATATTTTGGTTTTATGATTAAAAAATAAGAAACGAATGAATATTTAATGTTAAAAAGGGTTTAAATGTTAAAATTAAAGCAGCCCCCAAGTCATATCTTCAAATTTCAGCCCCAAAAGACTAATTGAAAATTTGCAAAAAAGCGAATTTCGAGAAATACCGTCCTAAACTTTTTTTTTTAAATTGCTTGTAATTAATTAAATAATTAACCAATTTTGCTAATTTTTTCAAGATATGCTCATGATAAGATGCACTAAGCAGTGCATATTTTATTTAAATTTATAAGGGCCTCGATTAGTCTGACCTTTTCATCACCTCAAACAAAAATTCATCTAGTCAATTGTTAAACTCAGTTTTACTTCATTTTTTGGAGAAATGAATAAATCATTTTTTAAAGTGCTAGTTTAAAGAAAAAAACCATCAGGGCTTAGGAGTTAGTGGCCCCAACCGCTATCTAGCAAAATCCTTGAGTTTAATAGGGGTATTGAACCCTATGAACCAGCAAAGGTACCAAAGGGTAAGTACATTTTACTAAAGTACCATTTTCAACACTTTTCCATATTTGAAATTTAAAAAGCGGATCTGTGAAGATTAAGCAACTAAATAGCTTTCATTTAAAAAAAAAATGAACAAAATCGATGAAGAATTGAGTGAGCTAATGACATTTTCCAAAACAGTGTGTAGGACATACACCGGCCCCCAAAAGTTACACCGAGGCACCTTTAGAGTTCAAGGTCAATTTAATTACCGGACGAGCATTATTCCGCCGCGATACTCATGTTAGATGAAAGCCCAACTATCTAAGAGTCCACCTTAAAAAACCCGAAGGAAATCGACCAAGGATAACTAAATTAGAAGCAATTATAAAAAAAAAGACTGATTCTATGAATCTAATTAGGGTTAGGGTTAGGGTTAGGGTTAGGGTTAGGGTTAGGGTTAGGGTTAGGGTTAGGGTTAGGGTTAGGGTTAGGGTTAGGGTTAGGGTTAGGGTTAGGGTTAGGGTTAGGGTTAGGGTTAGGGTTAGGGTTAGGGTTAGGGTTAGGGTTAGGGTTAGGGTTAGGGTTAGGGTTAGGGTTAGGGTTAGGGTTAGGGTTAGGGTTAGGGTTAGGGTTAGGGTTAGGGTTAGGGTTAGGGTTAGGGTTAGGGTTAGGGTTAGGGTTAGGGTTAGGGTTAGGGTTAGGGTTAGGGTTAGGGTTAGGGTTAGGGTTAGGGTTAGGGTTAGGGTTAGGGTTAGGGTTAGGGTTAGGGTTAGGGTTAGGGTTAGGGTTAGGGTTAGGGTTAGGGTTAGGGTTAGGGTTAGGGTTAGGGTTAGGGTTAGGGTTAGGGTTAGGGTTAGGGTTAGGGTTAGGGTTAGGGTTAGGGTTAGGGTTAGGGTTAGGGTTAGGGTTAGGGTTAGGGTTAGGGTTAGGGTTAGGGTTAGGGTTAGGGTTAGGGTTAGGGTTAGGGTTAGGGTTAGGGTTAGGGTTAGGGTTAGGGTTAGGGTTAGGGTTAGGGTTAGGGTTAGGGTTAGGGTTAGGGTTAGGGTTAGGGTTAGGGTTAGGGTTAGGGTTAGGGTTAGGGTTAGGGTTAGGGTTAGGGTTAGGGTTAGGGTTAGGGTTAGGGTTAGGGTTAGGGTTAGGGTTAGGGTTAGGGTTAGGGTTAGGGTTAGGGTTAGGGTTAGGGTTAGGGTTAGGGTTAGGGTTAGGGTTAGGGTTAGGGTTAGGGTTAGGGTTAGGGTTAGGGTTAGGGTTAGGGTTAGGGTTAGGGTTAGGGTTAGGGTTAGGGTTAGGGTTAGGGTTAGGGTTAGGGTTAGGGTTAGGGTTAGGGTTAGGGTTAGGGTTAGGGTTAGGGTTAGGGTTAGGGTTAGGGTTAGGGTTAGGGTTAGGGTTAGGGTTAGGGTTAGGGTTAGGGTTAGGGTTAGGGTTAGGGTTAGGGTTAGGGTTAGGGTTAGGGTTAGGGTTAGGGTTAGGGTTAGGGTTAGGGTTAGGGTTAGGGTTAGGGTTAGGGTTAGGGTTAGGGTTAGGGTTAGGGTTAGGGTTAGGGTTAGGGTTAGGGTTAGGGTTAGGGTTAGGGTTAGGGTTAGGGTTAGGGTTAGGGTTAGGGTTAGGGTTAGGGTTAGGGTTAGGGTTAGGGTTAGGGTTAGGGTTAGGGTTAGGGTTAGGGTTAGGGTTAGGGTTAGGGTTAGGGTTAGGGTTAGGGTTAGGGTTAGGGTTAGGGTTAGGGTTAGGGTTAGGGTTAGGGTTAGGGTTAGGGTTAGGGTTAGGGTTAGGGTTAGGGTTAGGGTTAGGGTTAGGGTTAGGGTTAGGGTTAGGGTTAGGGTTAGGGTTAGGGTTAGGGTTAGGGTTAGGGTTAGGGTTAGGGTTAGGGTTAGGGTTAGGGTTAGGGTTAGGGTTAGGGTTAGGGTTAGGGTTAGGGTTAGGGTTAGGGTTAGGGTTAGGGTTAGGGTTAGGGTTAGGGTTAGGGTTAGGGTTAGGGTTAGGGTTAGGGTTAGGGTTAGGGTTAGGGTTAGGGTTAGGGTTAGGGTTAGGGTTAGGGTTAGGGTTAGGGTTAGGGTTAGGGTTAGGGTTAGGGTTAGGGTTAGGGTTAGGGTTAGGGTTAGGGTTAGGGTTAGGGTTAGGGTTAGGGTTAGGGTTAGGGTTAGGGTTAGGGTTAGGGTTAGGGTTAGGGTTAGGGTTAGGGTTAGGGTTAGGGTTAGGGTTAGGGTTAGGGTTAGGGTTAGGGTTAGGGTTAGGGTTAGGGTTAGGGTTAGGGTTAGGGTTAGGGTTAGGGTTAGGGTTAGGGTTAGGGTTAGGGTTAGGGTTAGGGTTAGGGTTAGGGTTAGGGTTAGGGTTAGGGTTAGGGTTAGGGTTAGGGTTAGGGTTAGGGTTAGGGTTAGGGTTAGGGTTAGGGTTAGGGTTAGGGTTAGGGTTAGGGTTAGGGTTAGGGTTAGGGTTAGGGTTAGGGTTAGGGTTAGGGTTAGGGTTAGGGTTAGGGTTAGGGTTAGGGTTAGGGTTAGGGTTAGGGTTAGGGTTAGGGTTAGGGTTAGGGTTAGGGTTAGGGTTAGGGTTAGGGTTAGGGTTAGGGTTAGGGTTAGGGTTAGGGTTAGGGTTAGGGTTAGGGTTAGGGTTAGGGTTAGGGTTAGGGTTAGGGTTAGGGTTAGGGTTAGGGTTAGGGTTAGGGTTAGGGTTAGGGTTAGGGTTAGGGTTAGGGTTAGGGTTAGGGTTAGGGTTAGGGTTAGGGTTAGGGTTAGGGTTAGGGTTAGGGTTAGGGTTAGGGTTAGGGTTAGGGTTAGGGTTAGGGTTAGGGTTAGGGTTAGGGTTAGGGTTAGGGTTAGGGTTAGGGTTAGGGTTAGGGTTAGGGTTAGGGTTAGGGTTAGGGTTAGGGTTAGGGTTAGGGTTAGGGTTAGGGTTAGGGTTAGGGTTAGGGTTAGGGTTAGGGTTAGGGTTAGGGTTAGGGTTAGGGTTAGGGTTAGGGTTAGGGTTAGGGTTAGGGTTAGGGTTAGGGTTAGGGTTAGGGTTAGGGTTAGGGTTAGGGTTAGGGTTAGGGTTAGGGTTAGGGTTAGGGTTAGGGTTAGGGTTAGGGTTAGGGTTAGGGTTAGGGTTAGGGTTAGGGTTAGGGTTAGGGTTTAGGGTTAGGGTTAGGGTTAGGGTTAGGGTTAGGGTTAGGGTTAGGGTTAGGGTTAGGGTTAGGGTTAGGGTTAGGGTTAGGGTTAGGGTTAGGGTTAGGGTTAGGGTTAGGGTTAGGGTTAGGGTTAGGTTAGGGTTTAGGGTTAGGGTTAGGGTTAGGGTTAGGGTTAGGGTTAGGGTTAGGGTTAGGGTTAGGGTTAGGGTTAGGGTTAGGGTTAGGGTTAGGGTTAGGGTTAGGGTTAGGGTTAGGGTTAGGGTTAGGGTTAGGGTTAGGGTTAGGGTTAGGGTTAGGGTTAGGGTTAGGGTTAGGGTTAGGGTTAGGGTTAGGGTTAGGGTTAGGGTTAGGGTTAGGGTTAGGGTTAGGGTTAGGGTTAGGGTTAGGGTTAGGGTTAGGGTTAGGGTTAGGGTTAGGGTTAGGGTTAGGGTTAGGGTTAGGGTTAGGGTTAGGGTTAGGGTTAGGGTTAGGGTTAGGGTTAGGGTTAGGGTTAGGGTTAGGGTTGGGTTAGGGTTAGGGTTAGGGTTAGGGTTAGGGTTAGGGTTAGGGTTAGGGTTAGGGTTAGGGTTAGGGTTAGGGTTAGGGTTAGGTTAGGGTTTAGGGTTAGGGTTTTTAGGGTTAGGGTTAGGGTTAGGGTTAGGGTTAGGGTTTAGGGTTAGGGTTAGGGTTGGGTTAGGGTTAGGTTAGGGTTAGGGTTAGGGTTAGGGTTAGGGTTAGGGTTAGGGTTGGGTTAGGGTTAAGGTTAGGGTTAGGGTTAGGGTTAGGGTTGGGTTAGGGTTAGGGTTAGGGTTAGGGTTAGGGTTTGGTTAGGTTAGGGTTAGGGTTAGGGTTAGGGTTAGGGTTAGGGTTAGGGTTAGGGTTGGGTTAGGTTAGGTTAGGGTTAGGGTTAGGGTTAGGGTTAGGGTTAGGTTAGGTTAGGGTTGGGTTAGGGTTAGGGTTAGGGTTAGGGTTAGGGTTAGGGTTTAGGGTTAGGGTTAGGGTTAGGGTTAGGGTTAGGGTTAGGGTTAGGGTTAGGGTAGGGTTGGGTTAGGGTA